GCTGTGTCCAAGTGGTGCCGGGCGGGGCGGGGCGGGGCGGGGTGAGGCGCCCGTTAGCCGTGAAAATAAGCCTCCAGCTCGCGGATGATGATGGTAACGATGCTGTTGCTGATGATGATGGTAAGCAAGCCAGGTGGATGATGGTGATGTTCGCCGTGGGGAAGGTGGTGATGGCCTAGCGGGCCCACTACTTTGGAGAGAGGAGGGTGAGCAGTGCGTACTACTACGCCAGTTAACGCTAATCGCGTCTAACAAAGAGCTTTCCAAATATTGCAAATACTTGTGAGCGAGGAGCTCAGTGCGCTCCCCCTTCGCTTCGCCCCGGCTATGCGGTGCGGGCAGAGACCCTTCTCTCCTCTGTCTGCCGCCATCTCCCTGCTATCGTCTCGCTCTTACCTTTGGCGTGGTCCCCCTCCCTCTCTCTCTCTCCCTTCTCTCTCGCGCACTCAAAGGGGCAAACCCCGTCGGGGATCGAGCTATCGAAGCCACTCCAATCAGACGTACGTAGCAGACGACACGCCCTGACATCCCATCCCATTGATATGCCGAGGTACGGCCAAGCCGGGGCGACCGGGGGGCGGGGCCGGGGCTGCGAGCTCCGCGCGACGGGGAGGCGGAGGCGGGAGGGGGCACAGGAAAGGGAAGAGGTGGGGGCCGTCTCCTTGATTTGCTCCTCATTTCGATCTGAAGAAATGAGATCCGCGCGCCGAATTCGCAGACGACTCCGCAAAACATACAAACACGCAGAGAGGAAGAGAGAGAGAGACGTTTGACGCCCACTTAATAATTGCAAAATTTATTTTTTGGGGCAGTTTCTCTTTTCCAGTAGCATTTATTTTCGCGAGTAAATTGAAATGGCTGGTTTCTTTGCCCTTCTCCAGTCCCGCTAGCCCCCCCCCCCTCTTTCTCTCTCTCTCCTCTGCTGGTCTGGGAGAGGCGTCAGGTGGCTCCGGCAGTAAGCCATAGCTCCCACCCCACCCCCTCCCCCTGCCTGCCGAGGCGCCACAGAGGCATCCGCTGGGCCCCCAAATGAAATCAGGCACCCCCCCGCGCGACGCGCAGGCCGGGGCCCGTCAGGGCCTCTGGGACCAGCACGACGGCGGCGCCGCGGTGCGCCTTTTGTGGTTAGCGGACCTGTTTCCGTGGAACAAGAAGAAAGGCGAGTCCTGCTCCTCCAGTCCGCGCAGCACTGCGCAGCGCAGCGGGCACCACGCAAGAGAAAAGGACCCTTTTCCGCGTCGTAAATGCGTAACTCCTCTGGCGCCTACGAAAATAGCTTCGCGAACAGTACCAAGCAGGTACTCCACTCGAGACAACCCACTTGACGATTATTTGTGTGGTTGTGCCAAATTTGACTTAAAGTTTCCCGCTTTGGTAAAGAATTTTGATCGTGTATTTAGAATTAGTTTGATTTGCGGTCGTAGGTTATTTCCCAGCCCCGCTGCTCGCTATGAACTCTAGGCTGTGCGCGGCGCTGCTGCTGAGGGTGGTTGGGTATGGCGTGTTGCATGGCCCACTTGTGCATGTGCGGGCGCGGGGCGAGCCAGGAGGAGGAGGAGGTCACTCGCTCCGCGCAGCAGCACCAGCAAGCAAGCAGGAAAACACACATCACTCAACTCTTGACACGGTTTGCGCGCGCAAGTGCACTTTGCTTTTCATTGGACTCCCTCCTGCTCTAGCTGCTCTACTGTTCCTCGTGCTTGGCGTGTGCCGTAGCCTTCGCTCCCTCTCTGCCTGTCGGACCTGTTTGCGTGCCGGTAACGACTGTTGCTGCTCTTTAATTTCCCTAATGCGTTTTGGGCTCGGGCCCTGCTGCATTGGGCGGGGGCCCCGCGTGTACGCACCGCGGCAGGAGGGCCGACGCAGTAGTACGTACTTCTCGTACTTCTCGTGCTCGCTCCGTCTCGCTCGCACGCGGAGGGGCCTTGACAGCGTACGAGGCGAGAAAGAGGGAGAGCGAGTGACGGCTGACTACTCGTTTCGAACGCGGACGCGCCACACGCGCCACCCGTCATATTTACTACGGCCGTGGTGAACAGCCGCGCGCCGCTGGTCAGCCCCGCCCCGCCCTGCC